ACCAGGTGACTGAGGAAGAAAATGAACTTCCACTGGTGGTAAAGGATATTGAGGCCATGGATGCCAGCATCCTCAAAGGAGAACCAGCGTCTGGAAAGAAACAGCAAAAGGTACTGAGTCACAATAACAAGATCAGCCAAATTATCTCAGGGAAAGTAAAGTAAATCAGGGTTCTGATGTTGAGGCTCTGAGTTATACAGCTTGGAAATCGCTTATTGGTAAAAACAGGAACTGAGCAGTAACAGCCTGGTTGTTACTGGAAGTGCCTGCAGTTAGGGCTCGTTTAGCGGGGACGGGAGTCTGGATGTGAGTCACCTGCGGGACTTTGTTGTTTGTACTGGACTAACACATTACGCTTTCATAATTAAACTCCAGGGAGGAAGCTTGAAATTGATTTGCATTTGAGAAATGAAGCCCTGCTCATAATATTACCTCCTCCTCTACAAAGGAGGTTATGTTTTTGGAATGATGATTTTTTTACGTACTTTTATCTTAATACAGTGTGCACAAATATAGTTAGACAAATTGAATAGAATAATTGAATTGTGCAGAGACTGAAAGCATGAAGAAGTGCAAAGTTTGTTGTTTTAATCAAAAATCTGTGTTGTTTGCAAATTATGCAAAAAAAATCCCTTTTAACTTTATTTCCAAGAAAGATGGGACTTCATCTCGTCAAGCTGTAGTCAAACCCCGCAGCGACAGCGCTGCGAGAGTTTATGGATGAGGTGTCTAAATGAATTGTTGAGTTTCCTTTGTAAACACGTTAGAGAGAATGTTGCACCTCAAAGCTGTATTTCACATATAAAGAGTGTTGATTCACTGTGTTCACTGAGGCTATCACAATCTTCCTGGTCTTGTATTACTACTGCAAAACGAGTCAAAGGTTGAATAACTGTCACAAGCTGCCAGGCTTACACCAAAACGCTCTGTAAAAGCTAAAAGCTAAGAAGTAACAACTTGAGCTGGAAACTGTAACAGCTATTTAGGGAGGCACTAAGATTACATATTGCATTTTCAAATGAACTACGTTGGTTTTGCAGACTT